AAGCAGCCTTTTTGTCGGGTTTCTCTGCTTTGCTAGTTGCCTTTCTCCACTGGCCTCTTCCTAGAGGTTCAAGGGAGGGGGTGTTCGTGCCGTCTCTCATATTCAAAAGGAGGTCTGTCCGCTGTCTGACTTGTTGGCTCACACTTACCTTGGAAGTTGAAATGACTTTTGCAACTTTTCTGCAAGGAACATTACGGCATTGAAATCAACAACAGACAAGTTTTGGAGCACCAGCTTACGAAGTACCTTGTTGACTTTGGAGTGAGGCTGGCTGCCAACAGGGAACACTGCTCCGAGCTAATTGTCATCGGGTTTCGAAATCCCATCGGGACACTGCGCTTCTGTCGACTAATTCGCTCTGCTTCCGCTCTCCCACCTTGCTTGACTTTCAATCCTTTAGCTGCCACGACCATAAGTTCCAACTTTTTATTCGTCGCCTCGTTACAGATACATCATCTAGAGCTTGCTTAGCTGCAAAAACTCAATACACGACGGAATACATTAGTGCTATACAAGCTCCCGCCGGATATTGCCGAAGCTTCATCTGTTTCCGACGAAGTACGGCTACAGCAATCCCATCTCGATCGATCCCTAAAGAATACGCCGGTTCCCACCCCTATTATAATATCCCTGCTATCGGCCTGCTATTCGTACACGCTGTCAACGGTCTAGACGGATACATCTGAGCACCTCAGCTGACGACGGCTTGCATTGATCACCGCATTGAAAGACGGGACCAACTTGCATCGACGGAAACATTGGTTTAAAACACCATCGCGACACACGCATATCCGACCGCGAAAAGCTTGTAAGAGCTTGCAAGAGGGCACACAGCAACACAGAACACAGGACCAGCAATAACTTTGTCGGACTCAACGTGAAACTCTCTTCTCTTTCAACCCTTGAACGAACCACTCACCCTGCCGGCGCAATCCCATACGTATGAATACCTTGGTTCTTCACCTAATTACGAATACCCCCGGACTCGATCCCGTGATTTTTTCCCCCTCCCTGCGTCCTAATTCCTCCCAACGTCGGCTTGCGCTTCGATTTATCCCTTGCGTTCACCCACACCTCAGACCGACAGCTCAACGCGCAGAGTGCAACATAACGCACCGCAACGCAACCCAGCGCAAAGCAATCACCATAGCGACAGTCGCATCTCGAAAACTAATAACCAGAAACACAGAAAGACGACACCACAACAGCCATGTCGCCTGCCGCGCAAGCGCCCCCGACGGCCGCCGAAAAGGTCGCGTCCTTCTTCTCCCGCATGAGCCCCGTGCCGTCCTTCCCCGACTACACCGGCCCGCACAAGGTCGGCACCGTCGACATTGAGATCCCCGTCTCCGAGTTGGAGTCGCCCAGCCCGACCCCCTACAGCGCAACAGACATCCACACCGTCCAGTGCCGCGTCTTCTACCCCGCGGTTCCTGAATCCAACGGCAAGCGCATCAACTGGCTGCCGTCGCCCCAACGGCAACATGTCTCTGCCTACACCCAGTTCATTGGCATCCGGCCCATGCTCGCAGACATTGTCTCGTATGTATCCCCTCTTCCTCGAACGCTCCTCTAGTGCCTGCGCAAAAGGTGCTGTACTGACTTGAGCCTCCAGATTCCTCCCGCGACATCTGCACTATACCACCATTCCCGTCCACAAGAACGCCGAGATCCTCGATCCAGACACCCCGAACCGACGATGGCCGACAATGATCTTCTCCCACGGCCTCGGCGGCAACCGGAACACATACTCCCACCTGGCAGGCTCCCTCGCCTCCCACGGCATCGTCGTCATCTGCCCCGAACACCGCGACGGCAGCGCCGTGGCTTCCTTTGTACGCATCCCCGGTAAACAAGACCAGTACTTCATGCGCGACACCCGCCGCGTGATTCCCTACGTCCGCATAGATCACGACGCCCGCCCCGAAATCTACGAAGCCCGTGAAGATCAGTTGCGGATCCGTCTCTGGGAGCTCGGCATGATCCATATGGTCACCCTCAACATGGACCTCGGTCTCGCAATGTCCAACCTCAACAAGTCCACACCCAGCTTGACCCAGTTCAAGAACAAGCTCCACGTCCATGAGCCGGGCTGCATCATCTTCGGCGGCCACAGCTTCGGCTCCGCCTCCATTGTCCAGCTTCTTAAGACGACCTACTACGCCGAGTCCTCCGCCCTCGCACACGTCCAGAAACCCCTCTTCACACCGCGACCGGACTCGGCCCTGTGCAGGCAAATCACACCAAAGAACGTCACCATGCTCCTCGACATGTGGTGCTTCCCGCTCCTCGCCCCGGGATCCGCAGACCTCTTCAATCTGCCTCTCCCAGCCTACGCAAACACGTCCACCGCGCCGGGCGGCAACGCCATCCTGGCCGTCGAGTCCGACGCGTTCTACAAATGGACAGACCACCTCCATGTCACCGCCCGCGTCCTCTCTCCGCAACCCTCAGCGTCGGTGATCACGCCACAAATCTTCCGCCGCAGCGGCGTCAGCCTGCCCGAGCCAAACTTCTTCTACGTCCGCTCCTCTGCGCATCTATCTCAGTCCGACTTCGGTATCCTCTTCCCCTGGCTCACCAAAAAGATCTTCAACTCGGAGGAGCCGGAGCGCGCCCTGCGCCTGAACCTGCGCGCGCAACTGCAGCTCATGCGCGCAAACGGCGTCCCCGTGGCGCGGACATGGATAGGTGACCTCGTCGACGGCACGGGGTCCGGGAAGCTGGGTATCTCTACAGACGAGGACGGCGATAACGGGCCTGATGATGGTGTCATGGACGATAAAGTCATCTTTGAACGTTGCGAGGGCAAAGTGCAGTACTGGAACTGGATCGACGTCATTGGCATGGGCCAACCTGACGAAGAAGAGGAGGAGGCGCCACCGCCGGCCGACGGCTCGACGGTAGCCACTGCTACGACAGCGGCAAATGGTGGTGGTAGCGGGTCGGGTGTGAACGCGCAGATTGCGGGGGTGGAGCAGACGGATCGCGATATGGAGGATGAGTTGGAGCCGCTTCAGGCTGTTGCGAGCGCGGCGCAGATTGCGGCGAGGTCATGACTTCGTGTGCGCTTGTGAGCAATGACTAGGGAGAAGGAGACCTCGGTACGAGGTGGTGAGTTGTATAAACCACACGGGGTCCACGATTGACTGCATCACGAGAGTATTATTGTTGTATTTTTAGGAGATTAGCGTAATTAGCATCCTGTGCGTCTTGAAGAGCACCTGCAGATACCACGATTAGAATAGTATATATATACATCTCGTTTCTTGAAGATGTTAGTTTGTAAAGGTGGAATTGCACGTGTGTTGCGAAGCAGATGAAATGCACGAGGAATTCGTGTAAGTCTACTGCAGCCCGGAGCTTGTCCAATCCACTAGCTCGTCTTCACATGTCTTCAAATCCCATCTACTATCAATCTAAGATCATTTCTCCGCAATTGGAAGATCCGATGAGGCTTGTTCTACTTAATTACCTATGACGGGACCATCCGCGTTGGTAAGTAAGGTGGTAAGGTACTGTAGGTGTGGTTTGTGTCCCACGCTGTGGCCCTCGGCTTGTAAGTCATACACGTCATCAAAGATGAAGGCGTCAAAGACCGCGCGACGCCATGGCTGGCATTCTGTCATTCTGCAACGGCCTCGTCTGCTGGTAGGAGAGTAGTTTAAAACGGAGCTGGTTTCCCTATTGCTAGAATTCGATATCTCTACTTATCGATAGAGACGATTAGATTACAGAAATAGACAAAATGGCTCCCGTAAGTTGCTCACTCTCAAGCACATCTCCGGCTTGCACTCGGTCCACGTTTCAACGTACCTACATACCAACACCACCTCACCAGCAGCAAAAACAGCCCGAACGCCTCAAACACGTCGCCGCAAAGGCGAACTCCTCCAACCCATCACAACTAGGCGATCCCGTCTCCCTCAAGGCCGAAGTCTCCAAGCTCTCGCCGACGGAAGGTGACCTCGGCGCGGCAGCGGACTCGAAACCGCGCTCCGGCACGCAGTCCAAGGGCAGCAGCGGTGACGGTGGTCCCACAGGCGCGAAGAATTCGGATGGATCCCCCGTCCAGGACTACGACAAGCGACGGTTGAAGGACGTTGCTAAGGAGGACCTCGAGAGCGGAAACCCGTCGCAGCTGGGGGATCCCGTTAGTCTCAAGGCTGAGGTTACGAAGAAGGATCCGGCGCCGGGGAGGGCTGATGGGCAGAGGGTTGAGAAATCTAAGCTGTGATGGGTTTCGTGGTATTGTAGCAATTGATTATGATTCGGTTATCTGTGGCGTTTTTGGTCGTTTTCAGTGTTCGTTTCTCTTCACTTAATCAGTGACTTGGGGATAGGCTCAAAGCCTGGCCGCGCTGGAGCCGGCCATATGAGGCTATGTTCTCTTCGCCCGATATTCCCGTTACCTTTGTAATTAAGAGAAATATATCGCCGCACAGTAAAAGGGTTGACTTCTCTAACTAGCTCCGGGCTGGCCAAGCCACTTTCTCCTGTGTTCATGATAAACATCTCGGAGGGTAGGCCTCGAGCTAGCACGCCACCCACCGCCAACCAAGACAGGCGCTCACGCCGATTTGGCTCCCTTCCAACACATGTCCTCCTCTCTGAGTCTCTACCGAAATCCCAGTTGCCCACCTAGTATGATTGTGATGAATCACCTTCCAACGCTCACCCATAGATGGTCTCAATGCAAACAACTGACCTACTTCGACAATTGATGGATCTTCTCAACTCAGCTCCCTCTCTTTGTATACCTACAAGAATACGCAGCAGACAACGGAACTGAGAGACGGACAGTGGATTCGTTCCGACTGGTTAAGACGTCGGCGGGTGCGGCACAGAAACACAACAAGTTTTCACCATCAGTCGATGCGCATATACTCGATCTTCGCGAGACGCTTAACTCTTGCGTCACTAGTTGATTCGAATTACGTTGCTTTATTCGCTTAAAAGGACTCGAGACTCGACGTCTGCAAGTATCGTTCAGGGATCAACTATTTGCTTCCGGTCAAAGTGCCGTTCGTGCAAGGGATGCCGAGGCCTGTAGCTCCTTCCAGTCCAACACACTCCATCTCACCTGCGCTGCCATCCTATATACTGTTAGCAAGACTAATCCCTCATCATAGTTTCCCCTGTGAAGACTTACAGCTGCGACGAGGGTGATGTCCTTGAAGGTGAAGTCCTGGCAATGCGCCGCGTCTTTGCACATAAGGTACAACCCCTTCTTGGTTGAGGCGCCTGAGAATCAAAAGTAACGTGTTAGCATTTCCTCGTAGATGTGTCGTTGAGTAAGGTATAGTTTGAACTCGTTAGTACTCACCTAGACTTTGACTCCAGCATGGGCTAGAGGTACAGCTGCCGTCCTTGAGACCCGAGCCAGTATGCGCCTTGATATTCTCCCAGCGGAAGTTCTTGGCAAACGCAGCCAGCGAAGCATCCTTCCCGGCAGCGCCCTTTTCTTGATCGACATAGTCCTCGATAAAGTGAATGGGGTAAGCAGTGTTGGTGATTGTGAAGTTGCGCCAGGTAACATCAGAAATCTGGCACGTCGTGCCCACGGAGCCCTTGAAGCGAGCTCCCAACAGCGAGTCGTGGATCTCTGCGTTCTCAAACAGGTACCCGCTACCCGAGCCAGACGCGCAGGAGACCGAGATTCCGTGCGTGCCGTATCCGACGACGTTGCGCATAGTCACATTCACAGCCGGCGGAGAGACGTTGATGATGTCGTCGCCGTTCCAGCTGGTCCACCCATCGATGACAATATCGGAACCGCCAACGTCAATACCGTCCGTGTTGAAAGGGAACGCAGTCTTGGACCGCGCGTCCAGCACGGTGTCAGTCATGTAGACATCCTGCCCGCTTATCGAGAAGCACCACGCGACGGGGTTAAGAATCTTGAGCCCCCGCAGCCGCAAACTCGTCACACCGAACGAGAACATGTGCGGGCGCCCATTATTGCTGCTGACGTTGGCGCTGGACCACCACTTATCGCCGTGGCCGTTAATCCAGCCGCCGCCCTGGGCATTCGAAGCCGTGAAAGTGACGCCCTTGCTGTTGGCGACGGTGATCCAGTGGCCCGGGTAAATGGAGCGGTTGTTGACCACGGCGGAGACGGCGGCCGGGTCGTCTGAGAGGGTGAGGTTGCCCTCGATTTGGAACTCTACGTTTGTGAGGCCGGAGAACTTTAGAGGGGTGAGGAGGCTGTATTCCGTGCCGGCGCTGAAGACGACGCGGGAGTTGCTGCCGCAGGATTTGACTGTCGAGAGAATGGTCGGGGCGTCGTCGCCTTTGGACTTGGGGACGACGCAGGTCTTGAACTGGTCTTTGCCCAGTGTCTCGGGTAGCCAGTAGCCAGAGGCCAGAGAGGCGAGGAATGCAATGCTAAGGAGTGGATGTTGCATGGTGACAACTACTGTTAAAGAAAGGCGTGGTTGGAGAGCTGCTGTCTACTACATCTCAGTACGCTACGCATGTTGGCTTATATATGTCTTGGCATGCTTGGCAACTCAAGGTCTTCTAGTCCATCATCTTGTCAAGCCATGATGAACTCCTCTAACTAACTTTCACTGGCGCGACGTGGGCGTAGGTTTTCCCTGGGTTAGATTGAGCACCTGCGTCAAAGAAGCAAAGGACGAACCCTCATCCCAAGCAGTCTTCGCGCGGGCTGCGACACCTCCAACCCAAGCGGCCTCCCTTCATCGCTCACGAGTCAACATAGCCTACGAATTACACGTGTGGAGTGCCCGGAACCCAATGGCAGAAGTTCTCCGGATAATCGGCCTGAGAGTCGGAGAGCACGGTGAATAAACAGCGTTGTCTGTGACCAAAGTAGGCAACATAGGCGCAGCGCAGCCAGGTGCCCCAGATGAGAAGCACTCACGCAGAAAGCTTGTCTCGTCTTCATAAACCCGAGTTGCAGGGTTCGACGCCTGGCCAGCCCGCCAGCGGTGCGCGACTCGTAGTTCTGAATCGCACCAACTGCAATCTACATGTTACGCAGCCGAATGAACCTTCGCCTGACTCTTTCGTCTGACTTCTCTCGAGAAGCCTTTTTCGTATTGTTCAATCCGACACTACCGATGTAATCTACTTCAATTTCGCCGCTTGCCGACTTCCCGGGCCCGACAACTTAGACGCTTACCTATCTTTCTCACACGTGCCCAGTCAAATTGTGAAAGCCCGGTCATGAACCATATTACACAAGCATCGAGTTCTCTCACATAGGAAGCAGGCGTTTCAGCAGCACTCTATCGGATGACGGCTGTTGAAGCTTGGGCGGTGGCTTAAAATCAAAGCAGATAAACTACTAACGGCCACCAGTACTCGAAGGGAATCTCATGCGTAAGACACGAAGAGACATAGGCATGTTGAGACTTTTGTCTTCCTACCATCTACTAAGCCTACTAACGCCGCTGCCACCGGTGGCCCAGAGAGCAATTATGCATCCATGCGAAATACCGTCCGAGAGAAAGAAAATGGAATAATCCACTATACGCCGCCCTTATGCCATCATATCATAACCGCCCGAAAGGCGCAAAGGCATGTAGTACGTGCAATAGAATCCACCACTATTGTGGGTGGCTCGTAAAAGATGCTGGGGCCTTCGCACATCCGGCTTGTGCCTTCCCTCAACCGATAACAATTTCAAAGACCCGGAACAAAAGTAAGAAACAAAGTCCATACTCCTCCCAAATAACATGAACAATGGCGGACAATAAACTGTGGGTGGGATAAACATGTCCGCCGAGGTATCCTCATCGAATCAGAATAGTACGCCTTCCCTTTTTTTCATACGCCGAATTCTCACAGCATGCCAATGCTCTCCCTCCCCCTCTCTCTCTCAAACGTCGAAACCTGACTTGATAGCCCAGGAGCCGGCAAGCCCTTTACCGCCGACCTTTTCGGCAATCATGGCGATGGCTTCCTTCAGGTCGTTGCGGGAAATCTTGGCGTGAGCAAGTGCAACGTACGAAAGGTCGACCAGGCCACCCTTGGCGATCTTGGGATTCGCCTCGATAACCTTCTTGAGCTCCTGGAGATTGTTGTTCTCCAAGATTTTCTTCGGCAGCGACTGTACGCTGTTCTTTGTGCTGCCGCAGGTGATTGCTTTGAAGGCATCGGCCGGCTTCGAGTCTGCAGCAGGCTTGTCCTTTGCCGCTTGAGCCTTGGCAGTCTTGTCTTTAAGTGGACGACCGACAGGCTTGGGCTTCGGTTCGGGTTCCCAGTATTCCGTCGAGAAGGGATCGATACTGTGGTGGTGTTCGAGGCTCTCTTCAAAACATGTGTTAACGCTGCTTTATGAGCGGGAGACGGGATATAGCTTACCCAGAATGAATTCCATCCTGTGCTCGTACACGGTGCGGTTAGGACCCTTGCGTGTGCGATCCTCCCAGCAGAGGCCGGTGCTCTCCGGTTCGAGGCCGTTGGCACTCACGAACCGAGCAGGGCCGTTGTCCTCCGAGTCGTCGAGGAACTCGTCCATGTCTTCGCCGTCGGCATCGAGATCCTCATCGTCATCATCGTCGATATCGACGTCCTCGCCTTCACTTTCCCACTCGGCTTCCGAGTCGTGGTCATAGTTTACGGGGAGTTGGTCGCGGCGGATGGGGTTTCGGGCGAGGCGTCGCATGCCAGATTTGCCTGCTTGATAGGGTCTGAGGGTGACGGTACCCCTGTAAGGAGGCCGCACATCCTGATAGAACTTGAGCGACTTTGTAGGGACCTTCCTCAGCGCATCTGCAATATCCTTTACAATCGCCTTCTTGTCCTCTTCGCTGCTTGCTTCTTGTGTGAGCTTTCGCATCTTTTCAATGCTGAACCGCACTGGCGGGTAGATTCTGCCTCGCGGAGCAGGACGACCAGGAAGCTGGAAAACCTCGATAGCATCAAAGCCGCCCGCTTGGGTTGACTTTCTCTTTCCATCAAAGTACTCTCCCAATATCCTCGTCTTGGCATCGTGTGCCTCGTCGTCCATCTCGAAGGGGCTCTTGGCCAGGCGAACACTGCTTTGCACAAAGAACGGCTTGAACCGCTTCTCATATTCTGATAGCTCCTCCTTCTTGACTGCGGGAGATTTGGCGTCTGGCGTAAGTGCGGATTTGGAAGGGCTCCCTGACTTGATGATAGGCACCAATGTATCCTTCTTGGGCGTGGCGGGTGCCTTGAAAAAGGACATGAGCTTCGGCTGGGCGCGCTCCTTCTTCTCCTTTTCCTGTTGCACTTTGCGTTCTTCCTCCTCCTTCTTACGGCGCTTCTCATCTTGTTTGGCTTGTTTTTCGGCGTCGGCTTTTGCCTTTTCGGCCTGTTTGACTTGTCTTTCAGCGTCGGCTTTTGCCTTTTCGGCCTGTTTGGCTTCTTTCTTTTCTTCACGCTCCTTCTTCTTCTGTGCCTTTTCCTTCTCTTCGGCCTCCTTTTCGGCTGCGGTCCGGCGCTTCCGTTTGGTGGGTTGGGTTGTTGAGGCAGGTGTCTTTGATGATGAAGCGGGATTGGCACTTGTTGTGGTCTGCTTGAGGGGAGTCGTGCTCTTGCTAGGTGTGAGGTCGGGTGAGGGCGAGCCGCGCTCTGGTGTGAGGGTGCCGGCATCGGTCAGTGAGCTCGGGCTACTGGGGGCTGGCGATATATCGCGGGTAGGCATCTGGCGGGCGGGAGACCCAGCTGCGAAGGTTAGATGGATGATCGGAGCAAAATGATGGCCACAATGTGGACATGTTAGGTAGCTCATACCTTTGCTGGGTTGAACAACGGCCTCGGTGGCCTGATGTTTGACGCCGTTCTGCAAGCCACGATCCTCAATGGTGACCTCGTCACCGGAGAAATCATCGTGACTTCTCTTCAGGCCGCTAGCCTCCATGTCTGATTCTCGTTTGATGTTGGATGACATCTCGAATAGAGGCATCGGACACCGGGTGTCGCAAGGTTCGCGACAGTGCTCGTCGGTTGGTCGTGTTCGTGTAAAGTGTAGAATGAGGCTGAAGTTGTGTCCGTGGCAGTTGGTGTGGTGGGGAAGATTGAAATGGATCGAGTATCCCGCAACCAGACCAGAGAATAGGTACTTGGTGAGTGAATCGCTGGCAGGACGACAGTCAGGTATTTCGAACAATGAATGAGGTGTCGTTCGGCTTCAGGAAAGGGCCGTGATGGCAGGCTCAATGGCGGCAGGTCAGGTCGTCGGTCTCGCAAAGTGGAAAAGACCGTTAGTGGAGGTTGACAGGTAAGGTTGGGACGTTCCGCCGGGACGCGACTGACGCGTAAATTTGGCGTTGAGGAGGCCGGGGGGTCGTGTCTTTGGGCCGATAGGCACCATTACCATTTGAATTAGTGGCAGGGCTCCTTCTTGGTGCAGAAAGGGGAGATTGGGCCTTGCCAATGGTGAGCGACAGGGTATTGGGCGACGCGTTAAGGGGAAACTCTGTTAAATGGACGACGGGTGTGAATTATAGGTATTGTTAGAATCAATTAAACAACTATCATAGTACTCCGTAGAAGAGAACACTCCCAGTAATTTCGATTCTACTTTCGAGTAAACATAGAAGTTGATCTGAGAAGAGACTCCAAAACAATTTACTCAAGGCATTATTCTAGATCAGAGACATCACCTTTGCTTTGGTTAATTGTTCAAGTACACTACTTTCAATGCTCCCGCGAGTTGCGCACTAACAAAACCTCTTAAACGCAGCCCCTACCTGCACACGTTTCGCTCAGCTGGGAGCTTATGTCAGCAGGAAGACGACCAAGGCCGCACTGTGGCTGACGGTCTATTCTCACTAGCCTTATGTGGCTGGTATGTAGCAGGCCTGCGTTGGTCAGTGCGGCATTACCTCATTCTCGGTGAGATCTCGGTCTGCAGCTTCGGTCTGACATTTCCTTCGCACTACACCGAGGCAGACGCTGACAAGGACCACCAAACATTTAATGGAGACAGAAGACAAAACCATCCAACCACACCTCACCAGCAAAAGGAGACCCGCCTTTCGGTGTCAATCGGTCTTGGCTCAAGTCAGAACGTTACATCATGATGCCATTTCTCTTTTTCCCACCCTCTGGCTATCCTTTCCCACCTGCCATCACGTTTACTCCATTCACCCCGATGTCCCCGCGACCCTGTGCCTGTCTCTGCCTATCACTATTAATCGGGGCAGACGGAGTCGACGGACAAGAGCGATAATCTTCACCAAGGAAAGTTGGAAAGGTGGAAATGGAAGAAAAAACCTAGGGGTCTTGTTCTTCTTTCTTTGGTGGGCAAAAACACGAAGTGATCGACAACGCCGCCCGCCCTGCGCGTAAGGTCCCTCTGTCAACTAGGACCCTGATGATGATGATTGTTTGCCGCCTGCGAAAAAGGATCCCTGCCTGTCGGTAAGTGGCGGTGGTTCTTTTTTCGCAGCGATACCCGCTCAAAAAATGCAGGTAAACAAAAGAGGGTACAGAGGAAGCCAGCAATCAGCAGACGCACGAGATGCAGAAGCGAGGACTTCATGCCAGGGACGGGATGGCCTGCAGAAGGAGGCATATCCCGTACGCAGTCACTTCGTATAGTGCCGTGGGTGCTGAACTTCCTCAAGTGGTTGATTTTGCGGCGCCGCGTTTCCCGAGTGCTGGGCGTTGGCGCCCATCCTTGCTATGTAACTTACCTCTTGAAGATCAATGTTGGGTGGTGTTGCTGGGCACTCGAAGGCGACGTTGGCGATCGTCTGCCTTGAGAAGTTCTCGTATCCCACCACCTGTCGCTTTGGGCACTCTTTGGTACTGTTTACAGAAGATAGCCACGGGAGCCAGGATATGCATGTCATCGACAAGACACAGGCCAAAAGACCCTGAGAAACAAAGTTTTGGGGTACGGGGTCTCCGTTCGAACCCAAAGAATGAAGGGGGGCGCCAACCATACGGAAAGTTGGGACAAGTCAACCATCAGAAACTCCTCGAAACACGAGGTCGCATGTGTGTCAAAGACGAACTGACAGTGTCGCAGTAGTTCCTGCGCATTGCGATAGTCTAAAATGGTACCTATGGTATGGTAGCAATGGCAATCCCTGACCTATGAACCTACGGTAAGAGATAGCGTACGGAGTAGAGAGATTGACTCTGAGAGGCGGCCTCAAGTCCGAAGGGGAGGGGGGAAAGCTAAGGAAGAGGTTAGATCTATCAAAGTGTACTATCTTTGGAACACATGACAGGTTTGGCCGGTAAGTTAGATAGTTTAGTGTATCTGTAGCTCATTACGGATAGACCAAGTAAAAAGGTAGCACTGCAAGCGGCTCACCACATGCCCATCGAGTCAAACATCCTCCTCCCAACCCCGGATCTTGCAGGATGGGGTTTGGCGTCTCCCATTTCAACCACGCGGGAATGGGTTGGTCCAACAGAGAGTTTTCTACAGATTGCCATGCTTGGAAAGTCAGCCTGAACCATCCCCCATCGGAAAACCCCCTAAGAAAATGTGGCAAATGAAAACGGCGTGCGGCTGAAGAAGCATTACGGTAATATCATATTACTGGGTCGGCTGAAAGGTGTTCCCTTTACTCCGTGACGAACCAAGACGACCCTCTAGGTACAGCTACGTAGCTTTGAAGACAATGTCTCTGACCCCCAGAAGGTCGGCTGGCTGGGCTGAATCAACCTTTCGGTAAGCAATTCTCCCGAAATTGACGTTCCTGGGCACCATTGGCCACACACCCAACTTGACAGGATGGCATAAGTCAATACGGGTAAAAAAAGGGTTGTTCAATCGTGATGCCCAGGAATGGCTTTTCATATTCGAGCATTTCGAGCTTCTCTGTTTGTCTCAGCCTCTCTTTCTGTCTCTCTTTCTCTCTCTCTCTCTCTCTCTCTCTCTCTCGCCTTCCCCGTTGCCCGTGATTCCAAACAGCTTCCACTAGGGCCTTCAACCTCAACCGTGGTATCATCCTCCGCCCCCTTTACCCTGCCCAATTCGTCTTTGGTTTTGTCTTCCCCTTGTCCTGCCTGACATCCGTTCCCCCTCCCATCTCGCTTTTGATGTCTTGTCCACAGATTAGGGAACAGATCGCAGTATGGTCTGTCCATGTGAGGAGCGTCGCGGCCTAGGAAAATAAAAAAAAAAAGAGTCCGAGCTAAGGAAATGGTAGGAACAAAGGTAGAGAGGCCCGTAGGAAGCGATCGTAGAGCGGAAACAATGTTGGAAAATCTTTGACAAGGAGACTCGAATTTCGATCCCTCTCCCCGGCACATCCGGTAAACCGAACTGTGCCATCTCGGGATGGTCTCTGTATGGTATCATCCCACCCATAATAAAAAACAATCCCCAAGTAAAACGCCGAGTGATGCAGGTTTGTCACAGTAAAAGAAATCACCAAACACCCCCACCCCCCCTTAGCGACCGTATTTGTATGCCTAAAGAGACATTCGAACAGATTGGCGATGACGAGGAAGGAACAGGAAAGTCGGAGAGATGTCGAATCGTTTTCCGCACGTCATGGTAAAGCGAATGAAGCCCATCCCGATGGGCTCGTAACGTATTGTGAAAGTCGGCGACTTATCCATACACATATGTATGGGGCCGCGAGGGCAGCGTGGCCTCTCACAAATCGGGGTTAGCGATGTAAAGACGGCCTCCGGTGAGCGTGGTGGTGCGCTCGTCGACGCTGCCCCTCCTGCGTAGGTCATCGGCGCCCTTGACGCTCTTCTCGCGGGTGACGGTCGAATGCATTAGTGAGTTGCTCGCCAATCTCGCCGCCGCAGTATTGCCCAGCTCGCCGACATTGTCCGCCCGCTCAGCGCTGCTCCCTGAGCCCGTCGTCATGGCCCTACCACTCGCGTTGTCGCCCAGCGTGGCGTCCTCCGGTACGTCCTCGACCATGCTACCACTCCTCTCGGGCGTATCTCCGGGGCTCCATCTGCGCCCGCCGCCGGATGATCGGTATCCCGGGCCACGACGGCTCGCAGTGCTACTGCGGCCGCTGCTACCGGTCCGTCTGTGATGCAAGCGCGCGTCGTCGTCGTCGCTGTCCTCGCCCTCAACCTCGGTAGCACTCAGCCGCATGGGAACGCCGCCGACGCCAACGTGGTGCTCTCCCGGAGCGTAGCCCACTACGGCGGGCTTCCCGTGGTGACGGATCTTAGCGGCAACCTTGCCAGTAGCACTGATGCCGGTACTCGTTCTGCCGCCGGACGGAGCGGAGAGGCCAGAGGCGGTTCGCTGGCCGCCGATGACCTCGAGGGTAGCTCGCATCTTGGCGGCGCGCTGCTGGGCCAAGAGGCGAGGATCCTCATATTGGGCGCGGTCGCACCAGACGGTGGCCTTTTGCTTGCGGAGAAGGGCAACATAGCCCGTCGGCTGGGGGCTGCCGCCGCCGGAGCGAGAGGAGGTAGAGCGACGAAGATCGGTGGTGGGCGAGGTGCGGTAGGCGGCGGGTGGAGGAATGCTCGAGGAGGTGCTGAAGGTGTTTACTGACGGTGAGCGGCGGGTATGTTGCTGAGGGTTCATGGCATTCTGCTGCTGGAGGTGCATCGGCGTCGGGCTCTGAATAGGGAATGTGTTTGAGGATGTCGTGCGCGTGCGGGAGTGGGAGTAGACTGTGGACGAGTCCATCGGCTGATACCGCCGGCTCGCTGACGGGTCCAGCATGACTGCGGTTGATGTGAGGTTGTGAGGCAGGCTCTATCCTGCTGTCGATGTTGTCGTCGTCCTCCTTCGGATAGGTGGTGTCTTTCGTGGAGGTTGTGTGGTGTTGCTGCTCCTTCAAGATCGTCAAGATAGGATGGAGTCTTATACACCTGTAGAGGATGGCGTGTAGAAGTAGGAGTAGGAACAAGAGTAGGACCAGAAGGAAGAGGAGGAGGGTGAGGTTGTGAGGTAGAAAGAGGCTGTCGTGGGATTTGGAGAGAAATAATCCGAGAGCGGGAAGTTGGGCAAAGGAGGGAGATTATAGGTCGGGTTCCCAGGCGCCGTGCGGGCGAGTAAGGCACCTTAAGTTTCGCGCGGGTCGACGGGGCGAAATGTTGAGATTTGGGTACTTGGGGGAAGACCTGAGGGGAGTTCTTGGGCGCTTCAGCTCAGCTCTCAGGGCCAGCGGCAGCCGGATGGGAGGTGCCTTTTAGCGCTCCGTCACCTTGTGGCCTTTTGGGAGGGGTCCCCTTTGGCTGGGATTGTGAGTGAGAGAGAGTGGGAGTGGGAGTGAGAGTGAGTGACCGGGGAGGGGGGTGTGAGGTGAAGTGAGGTGTGAGGTGTGAGAGTTGAGACTGAGAGCGAGAGAGCCAGAAGAGTGAGGTGAGAGGGGTGTGTGAAAACAGGAGTGAGGCCTGTGTGAGAGTGAGAGTGAGAGTGAGAGTGAGTGGGTGGATGAGTGGTGGAGAGAAGGTGGGAGAGTGGGAGGTTCCCTGGGTCGGGAAAGCCGAGAGCGACAAGTGCTAAAATTGCTCGGGAGCCTGCGAGGTAAATGTACCTTTTTTCTCTCCCCTCCGGCAAGTCGTGGGTTCAGAAAGTGAGAGCGAGCCAAGCCACGCCTGAAGAGGGATCCAGCACCACGGTGACGATGAATGATGGTGATGTTTCCTCCCTTCTTCGCGTCTTGAACAACGCCTCTATTTTTCTGTCTCCCACTTAGACTTTTGGCTAGACACCGAGTAACTCTGTCACTAGACACCGACTCTGTACAAAGACAGATCGTTTATCGAGCCTGTCGAGCTGCTACGCAGTAAACACGAACAACAAGACACAAGGAACTTGTTCACCACACTTCGGGTCCTCGCACCCGATCTGCGACCTGGATGGAAACGACGGGGAACAATGACAATGGCCCGGTGAGAGAGGCTGATAAACGAACCAGAGGGTCTCGGGTTTCTATTTTGCTCGTGTCCGCCGTCCGCCGTCCGTCGTCGCGCTTAAAGCCAGACCCTCTGTGGAGCACAGATGATGATGGAAGAGTCGGCAATCCCAGTCGTGCCAGTTCCGTACTTAGAAAAGCTAGGGGAATTTGGGAAAACCCAAGGGAACGATACGACAGGGCGGCCAACGATCGTCTGTGCCCTTTTTTTTTCCTGTCTTGGTATTGCTAAAAGAATTGATATCCGTGGGATCACCGCAGTTCGGGTACGGGTAGCGTGCTGGAGCGCGAGATGAAGAGAGAGGGATGATGCTAGACGAGGCACGTTTCGTCGATAGTGGGAGCTGAGGGCTGAAGGAGGGCTGAGGCCGGAGGGAGATCAAGAGTCGCAGGGGCGATGCCGTTTCGCCAAGATGCAGAGTCGCGAGAGAACAATAAACAACAACGAGGCGAGGGAGAAGTGAATCCTAACGCGCAGATGTTGTTGTCGGTGTTGGTGTCTGTTGTTTTGTTTCTTGTGGGTGTGAGATCACGGCCGAGATAAGGCAGACCGACGCTGCAGGTCTGAGATGAAAACCTGAGATAGAGTATAGTATGCCCACTCACACACACACACACACACACACACACACACACACACACACACACTCACTCACTCACTCACTCACTCTCACACCCACCACACTCTTGAGAGAATTAACCTCAATTGATCCCGTTCGTGAGGGGTGCGGTTCGCCGAGGTGGAGGAGGCGATGGTTGTGATGGTGGTGGTGCCCAAGGAAGAACTATGTGCTAGGTAAGCGTCGAACTCGGATGACGAACCCAAGAACGTGGGATTTGTACGGATGTGCGGGAATACACCACAGAGTCGAATACGGATACTCCAAGATGGGACTAGCACTCTTGTCCAAAGAAGTTGAGGACAGGACAGAACTGGGGTTTGAATGCGATGCGATGCGATGCAAAGGGCCGGCCGAAGCAATAAGCAACAAGCAGCTGCAGGATTTACCAACTTTACGAACTAAATACTGCCAGATCAAAATCAAATGCCCAACATGGTGGTACCGCATGGTGACGACTGAATGGTAAGTCGCCGATGCGGGATGAACTTCCACACAGCGTATATGTCTACCGTAATATAGCTTCGGTGACTGAAAGAGAGCAAACAAGCACAACAGCTGATATCATGACCAACTCTTCTTGTTGGAGATACACATATCCATCCGGATACCGGAGTGACACAACCCATTGACAAGAAAGAGGGACGAGACAGAAAGCCCAAGCAAGCACGTACCGCACCCGCAAGCACAAAAGAGGCCAGGACCAGGGGCCAGGACGACACTTGGACAGACTGGGACAGGGACAGGCCAAGGACGAGTGTGACAAGGCGACACTGGACAGGGTGACAAAATGGTGACAAGGGCCCCGGTCCAACGTTGCATGCGCCCGGGGCAGCTCTTTTGCTGCTTAGTGTCTCTCCCTCTCCCCCATGTCTCTCTCACTCTCTGTCTGTGTCTCTTTCTCCCATGTTTCCCACTCTGTCTTCTGGATGTGTGCTCGCGCCGCTCTCCTCTATTGGCTCGCTGCCGCCGTAGCCTTCTCCCCTCTTGAGGAGAGAGAGGGCCTTTCGTCGCTCTTGTCATCGCCGGGTCCCACTTTTTCGTAGGTAGATCCACAAAGTTCAACGAGAACCCGTCTGTCTCTCCTGGCCATCTTTCGTTCACCCTGTGTCTATCTTGGATATTCTATGGATATCCTTACCATGGAGTCCTTCTCTCAGCTTGCCTTTCCCACGGCGCCATAGCCCACCTTCTTACCCTTCCCTCGCGGGCCTCCAGTGTCCACAATGGTTGTCAGTCTGCGGCGCTGCGGTCGTCGTGATGTCGTTGCTCGCTGGCGTACTCTCACCACCAGCTTGACAATGGGAATGGGAATCACCAAAGCCTCTTGGATACCGTCTCCCACTCTCAGTCTCTTCCCGTCTCTCTCCACTCATCGCACATCCACATCCGTGACTACTGTTGTACTGCTATGCTGCACGTAAACCCCTCGCCTGGCCCAAGCTTCCGGACTACACTATGCCGGGAGAATATGTCACCATCATGACTGCCGTCTTGTTCGGCTCTACTGCGAGTTACAAGTTTAAACGCTCAAGCTATGGAGTCCCTATCCGACACAATAGTTCTGTCTGCCGCTCTAGTGCCCGCCAATATTGGTTCCCTCAAGCGCCGTCTTTAGTATGCGTACACTACAGTACCGCGTAGAAACTAGAGGGCCAGACATCAAGGCAGCGAACAATTACGCTCCTCTCTGTACAATCGCACCCCCAAATCTCGATCGATCTTCCTAATCCACCGAAGAAATCCCACCAACGCGCTTCTCATCCCAGCCCGTCGCGTCAGGATTCAGCCCGGAACAGGTTCACGGTTCACATCGCCCCCTAAGGTCGCGGAGTATTGGCCCGGCCAATCATTCCCATGGACGTTGATGTAATAAAAGTTACCCCTTCCAGAAAATCCAAGGAACCAAACTCGAGTCTCCAGAGTGGGATAACCAACGCCATAGCCAGCCAGGAGTCGGGGTCAGTTCCAGGACACACATTCCCAGTTCTCCGGGGCACATTGACGGCCCAGTCTTGCCAGTGGACACTGATGCTCTGCCGCCTTCGCGCTGTCTACTAGCAATGGCAATGTCCTCCGTCCTGTCGTGCGGCGTGCCTGGTGTCACCGAGTTTTTCCAGGTTTCCCATTATTGATCTTCAACGCACGTACGGAGATGGCCCTGTCCTGTACTCTGTATGTATGTAATGATCTCCAGGGCCTTTTCTTCTGCCCTCTTTTATTTCCTTATTTTCCTCTTCGTCACTAATGATCCCCCTCGCTTCGGCTGCCGTCCGTCCCCTTGTCCAGTGACTCTCTGCCACTCTGGTACCCCTGGTCTGTCCTACAACAACCCCCTACATGCAGTAATCAACCCCGTAGTCTTTGCTCATTCCTTCTGTTTTTCCCTGTTTTTTGAGGGCTGAATCCTTCCCACGAGATTGGATCGGTGTGGTCACCGCTGGAGCTTAAGTGGTCTCTGAGCTCTGTTACCTTGCTTTCTCGAGTGATCTTCGCACTATTACCCCTACAAGATCCTTCCGTGCCGTTATGCAAACCCCCCTTTTTGCCGTCTCCAGGTTCTCGATATTGCTCGGTCAGAGAACCAAAGCCTCCATCACACTGCCGAAAGGGCTTGCGGTGAAGGGCAGCAACTTCCAGCAGCCGGCAAAAGCTCAGGACAACATCCAGCGCTGGCCAAACAGGGCAAGTCAGGGGCGAGTTGCGACGGCGGTGATGTAAGATGCGGCAATCGCCCGTCCGCCGGGGAGCTTTAGTGATGTCGCCCCGTCCATTCGCCAATAATGTGACAGATGACAGCACTGCGTTCAAAGCACCATTTTCCCTCAGATCATCTCGAGCAGAAGGCCCCCTCGACCGTGATGAACATGGACATGACCTTATGTTCCCCCCGCACTCTCGGTATGCCCTTTCCGGACGCTATGAGGAAAAACGAAATTAGGGAACGTTAGCCAAGGAGTGCTGTTCTCGTTTGATCCGGCATCCGAATCCTGAATGACATATGATGCTTGGAGAACCGACGCAACAACGCGAAGAATCTCATATTTGCTTTCCAGTGCCACGTCCGATGTTTGCGTTGCGATGTGCGGAGAGGCAAGTGACACGATCCCTGCTCGGGGGCCCAGATAATGTGGCCGTAATGCAGCGCCAATGCAAGTCAAGAAGTCGTTATCACGAAACTCGGAACCGTAATCACAAGTCTCGGCTTCTAATTCCCGTTCTCTGGTTGCCAAGGCCCAAAACGGCATGTTTGCTTCCATGTAGGCCTTGCTCCGCGATAGGAGAGACCCAACCTATGTACGAATATGCGGCTATTGGATTTAGTATCTCACCCTAGGCAGGCACTGTCTACAAACAACACCAAGTCGATTGAGCATCGTGATATCTAAGACGCACTCTCAAGCCATCGTAAAGCCATTGGCCCATCTTGACATGCAACTATCTCGCCTTACTTGCAGGGAAACTCCACAGCTCAAGCCTGGCATGGCCGCATAGGACCTCAAAACAGCACCCGACTCCGGATCCGCCTCAACCACCACCGCCGCCGCCGTCTCCATTCATGATTCCATGCCTTCGACGTTCCTTCTCCAGGCCCACAATCCCATGCTGGTGAGAGAAACGTGCAAGCTCGTGTGGGGGGGTGCGGTCCTCCGGTGAGAGTCCATCATGTAAGACAAGGCGCGCCATGCCCCGGGCCAACCAACAGGAAGCAGACCTTGAGGCTCAATAACGGCCGCTATGGATACAGCGGCGAACTTGCACAATATTCAAGCAACCAAAACCGAAGGTGGTGTTGCTCCTCCGAAGCGGACTCTGTCGACTCCACCCCGCCCATACCCGCCAAGGCACCACGATCCGGCCGCGCTCCGAGTATTCGTCTTCCAAGCCTCTTGGCCTCCGAACAATTTCAGTCGCTCTTGGACCGGCTCACATTTATACTGCAAGTGCTCAGGACTCAGACAGGGCGGCTCGGCTGGCCAAGTGGCGCGTTCCCTACGGACCTTGAGAAGAGACGTAGGACCTTGATTCTTGTGACCGACGTAGGAGAAATACAGTGCGGTACAAATACGCCGGTACGTATGCGTTTTGTCTATATTCACTACTCTACAGCTCCTCCAGTCCCGACGGCATTGACGGGACTGCGAGAAAATGGAATTGCGAAACGGTCATTGATTGGACTCCCCCGTGCGACGACTAACGAACCGCACACGCGATTTGATCAGACATGAGGTCAAGACAAGGGGAGAAACTTGGCTTTTCTGCTTCGCTTCTTAGTCATGATACGTCTCCCATATTAACCAGGCTCATCTTATTCGACCAACAAATCTCCCGTCTACCACGGCCTCGAGCCATATGAGGTCACATACGATGAGTTGTTCAGAGTCATTGCAGCCTCAACGGGTTTGCTGGTTCAATGACACCCGAACGTCACACCCGCATCAGGAGCAATCGTCGTGGCCGCTTTTTGACCATTTCACTTTGCAAACCACAAAGCAGCGCGCCCATCCCGAATCATCCATCAGTGGAGTGTAACTGATCACCAGTTCAAGCAGGCTGAAGCACGAACACACCCACCCGTGACATTCCTCTCAGCCAACAGCCAACAGCATGTTGCAGCGTGGTAGCACACATAGCAAGCCAAGTCTCACAGGATAGCGCCCGAACGTGGTACTGCGTGCGGCCAACAGACGCCCCGGGTCCCGGCTGCGACCAGGTCAGACGGCTATGAGACCCCGGCTTGCCCGGGGATGGCGGGGAGGGGCCGAACTATGATTTCCATTCCTGAAAGCTGAGGGGGATGTAGGTAATCCAGAGGATACCGGTATGGGCGCACTTCTGCTGCAAGCACGGCCACAATTGCCAGCTCCAGAATCTGGGGAAGATGAATAGCGCGCGGCTGGTTGCTTTTGCGTCGGCGATCCATGCGGCCCCGGCGAACCTACACCAAGCCATTGAACGAGCCACCATTCGATGCGGTGTGGAATATTGAATATTGGATGTAGGGGCTGAGCTGCAGAGTCCTATCCGTGTGCATTATCAGAAAAGTAACCCTTCAGAACCCAACCTTTGATGGATTACCTGAAGCAGGAGAAGAGACTCCATCGTCGAGGGCACTCTGTCCTAAAGCAGAAGATACAATTATCGCAGAGGGGTCATGCGGAAACAAGACATGACTCTGACTCTCTATCTTGGCCTCTGCCGCCGACGCATGCGGAACCTCTCCCCCTCGTTCTGGGGAAAGCCACGATAACCTCCTCCTCCCCCGGACCCCCGGCAGCATTCCAACCCGCTCCCCAAGCACGAGGAATGAAGGCTAAACTATCTGGTTCAACCCCTCCCCCTCCATTGCCTAGAGGACGTGTCTTACTGGTCCGGGGAGGGACAGAATCTCTGCCCATGCAGATACCTAGCTTGGCTTGTGTAGGATGGTTCAAGGCAAGGCAAAGGTAAGGCAAGGCAAGATGCGATAGGATGCCACGCTATGCCAATGTTGTGCACATTGGGTTCGTCGACGCTAATCAAGCGACCACTCTCGTTCGTTCTCGTTGATGCTAAGCAACGCTCGACGATACCAAGAGTCCAAGACAGCTACTGTTCCCCCCTCGTCTTCCCCCCTTCATGTCCGCTTTCTAGCTGCCCGACTCGGAGAAGCGTAGTGGTCTAACGACAACCGACAGTGGTTCAAAGAGAAGCGCGGTTTTATTTCATCGCAATCTCCCATGCTGTCTACTAAACTATATGCCTTGCCTGAAGCCGCTACTCCGTACATGAAGCTTATTGTCACCGTACCTCCTCTTAGTCCCGATGTCATTGATTTGAGAAATAAAAACGCCGAGAATTTCATCTCGGGTGTAAAGCATACCGAGAGCAGATACCAGGCGAAGACGATTTGGGAGTCTTGGTGTACGCAAACCTGTTCAACAATGCCGCCGCCACTATGCACTTTGAATCTACGCAGTCACCGCCTCGGTGTAAGCCCGCCCGCATCCAATAGTCAGACCTCTATCCCCCCTCGCCGACGTTGCATTCCTCCCACTCCCACGCTTGTCCTCCTGGGAGATGCTGCCACGAGGGCCGCGGGCTGAAGAGGCTGCCGCATGTCTCAGCGTGGGACAGAAATCCTGAAAAAAAAAAAAAATATCGTTGCTCTGCCCTAATGGTGTAGTTGCAACATCCTTACACAGTTGTCAGACAGACGAAGAAAGGAATCCCAATCACCGAATAGAGGCGGCCCAATGGCTCAAGCTTGTCCGCTCGTCACCATCCTCGTCGACGGAGTTCCTTTAATGATACTCTGTCGAGAGCTACGCCAAGAAAGCATGGGCCCGAACGACATGGGCGGTGCATGGCAAGGATCTTCACGGGGGAAGGTTGTCGTTTTAGAGGGAAACATCGCCAGGAGAAGGCTTCCATGGCAAGCATATACAACGGTTAACAAGAGCTCTGCCTCGACTATCGTTCGTTCATTCGAACTTTTGAAAGTGCCAAGACCAGCCCATTGAGAGGATGCAGCCTTGGAGTTGAAGTCTAAGTCGACAGATACTCGTCGTCCCCTCCTCCCGGGTGTTAGGTCTTCAATCTTGGCCAGACTCGCACAGGGCCGAGCGGTGCAGAACCAGCACAAGCAAACAAATACCGCGGGGAGACTTCTAAATGTGCCGCCCCCAATGCGACGTCGATTAGCAGCAGCCCTCATCCTGGGTGAGCTGAGCTAAGTTTTGGCCTAAGCAGCGGGATTTTCCATCGCCGGCGCAGAGACAACTCAGCTATGCAAGTCAAGCTGAGACTCTGTAGGAGAAGAAGCTCTAGATTCAGGGCTTTGGGTGTTGGGAGGATCCAACGTAGAGACAATTAACCTCATCATTGCATTCACATGATGCAAGGCGAGCGCCATGCCGCAAATCAGATCATCTCAAGAGCTCCGGAGGCGCGACCTTGGCGGATCCCGGGGCTTCTCGCTCTGTCTCCTACAGTACAGGCCGTCACATCACCCGTCATCGACCTCAAAAGCGGTGGGAAAAGCAGCACCGGTTGACTGACAGGGCGGCGGTCAAAGTCCACTCCGTTGATGGCACGTATCGCGCCGTGCCCTCCCGGTCCTTGACTGCTCATCGTCTACCTCACAATGCGACACTGTTGACAGCAGGCTGATCTCACACAAGAGCTGACAGCCAGGCGACGACGGGAGGTGCGTTCATCCTGTTCTCCATCCTCGCTGCCGTTAACCTGGCCCGTGTCATCGTTGACAGAAAAGCAGAAGGTAGCAGGCGGGACGTCATGACAGCGTCAAGGGGGTTACAATGGCACCTCACTATCGTCGGCGTTTGGCAGAGTGGTTCCAGCTTCGCTGGCCCTGGCGGTGCGCGTGGGTGCCGCAGAACAAGATTCGCAACGTGGACCTTGATGAATGATGCGGTGTCGACTGTCGTCAAATTCCCACCAGGCTATAGATGCCTCGTGATATAGGAACAGGGTAAGGGCAGAGTATCGTCACAACGGCGCGAATCTCGAGAAGCACCGACCAGCCCAGTTGCAGTGAATAGTGAACGTTCCCTTCGGCGCCAACCGACAGGGGCTCGTCCGTCGCATCTTTGTTTGCTAATACCAAGTTATTTGTACGGATATCTCCAAAGCCTCCAGGGATATCGCTCCCCCGCACTCGGCTTGCCACTGTTTGTCACGGATACAGTGTAGCCATCGTGAGCTTAGTCCGAGATAGAGATTATTAGGCGTCGTACCATACCCTTCCGATGACACCAACCCCCAGTACTCCAGGACCTCACCTCTCACTCCCTCTTTGCTATATGCCAGACCGAATATCTTTCCTGATCCCGGCCTCGCACAACTTGCTAGCCCTCCGCACCAGTGATCCAGACATCGACTTTGACAGCAAGCTACCTGCCACAACTCTGTTCCTCCGCTGCTCCCCTGATCCTTTCCATTACACGGACGGAGAGGGGAGGCTGGTGGATTGTCGGCAGCAGCCCCTCCCCGCACAAACCGGCGCCGGTACACGGTTGCGGAATCTTTGACTCTACGGATGCTCACGAATCTGCGGATCTTGCTTCATGCCGCTTGCCCTCTGTGCCTCTCCTCTCACATGACAGGTGATGGCGTAAGCAATAGCCTCTGTGCCACATTCTTGCGCCAGCCTCACCTGTGTCTTGGGCGGGAAACTGACAAACGCTCGGAGGGCAACATGGTTGATGCAGAGTCGAGCACAGAACACTCATGTTTGACGCATTGCTGACTGGCGCCGTTGAGACCCCTGCGAAACATCGTTGGGCCGTGCAGTACCAGCGTCAGGATTAACACAGCTTTCCTAGAATCCGTAGCTTCGATGCACCTGGTTCCTCCGGATTGTGTAACTTGATTATACAGATACCTATGCCTCTCGCGAGTCGCAGGGTCCCTCAAAGGTCTATAGAGGTCCAGCCCTTCCAACTTCCAAGTTCCAGCCCAGAGCTTGCCTTTATTCTCCGACTAGGAGGATGAGCTTCAAGGGACTCAAACGCACGCCGCTTATACTCCTTGCTGCCCATGCGCGAGGCATATCTTTAGTGTAATTGTTAACCCCTCCAACGACATGCTGTCGGCTGTGGCTGAAATGGGGAACGTGGCGGGCGCAACTCCCCCATCCTCTGCTTCGTACCATATCCGGCAACGCGGTTTCGGGGCATCGTGGAACACGCCCGCTTCTTTCCTCGCTTTGGACGGTACATCCGGATACGGCAGCTATATCCAACTTTCGTCCATACTCTCCGGCGGGCAGAGGGCCCACGCCGCGGGGCAACGTAGCTCATGTGGGAGCCAACGGCCGACAGGGTAGGCTTACATGCAGCAAGCCCAGCAAGGAAGAAAAAGGTTAGAAGCATAAGGCCAATATGGTCCGATGTTGCGAGATGTAGATGAGATCCCTCTCGAGTCACGATGTGTGAGAGAATGACAGGAAGTCGCCGCGGCGTAGTCATGGCCATGCAGCAAGAATCTTGCTTTCGGGACCTTTCAAGACAAGCCTCCAGCCTCCGCGCGGTCTCGATCCTCGGCGGCCCTATCTGATTGCAGGTAGCTTAATGGCGAGGTACCATCGACCCCCTGGTGGACAGGTTTGCTATGGGTTCGGTGAGGTGGCAGGTGCTGCTGCTGGTGCTAAGGCTAGTGGTCAGGGTGAGGTTACATTCTGTCGAAATGCTCCAAAACTGTGAATAGCTTCGCTTTTGCGACCCCCACCAGAAGGATGGGGTCTGCACCAAAGTCCCTTGTACACTCGCCAAGAAAGGCACAGAATCTTGGGTCTGGCTAGTTTCTCACAGTGTTTGCGCCCAACTTGGGAAATTCCAATGGCTTGCATGTCTAGTTCTGGCTCACGCCGTCCCGAAACATCACCCCTCGCCGTGTTGAGCTAGGCCGGTTCTTTCCTCTGTCGTCCGGATCATTGAAAACCTGATTTCCATGGCTCTCTAGAAAAGTCGGCAGATATGCATAGAAGCTCTGACCCAAGGCAGAATTCCCACTTTCGAGGGGTTTCTATACTATACTAGCTCGAAATGCAGCTTCTAAGCAACGCCCCCGGCTCCGGGTATGAGAGCGATATAGGCGCTAGAAGAAGACCCAAGCAGAGCCTCCTGTCGCTTTTGCGTCTGCCAGACCAGGAAAGTTGCTGTCAGAACGCCGATCAGCCATCTGGATTCCGATCTTGTCGAGCCTGTCGTGCCCACTTCGGCCGTCCCTGATGGAAGTTTTCGCGAAACTAGCCCCCGGGGTGTCCCGCCTGCGCTGGTGCTGTCTTGTCTATCGCATGGAACCCCGTTTTCCCACTCTCGGCCGTGAACCGAAAGCTCTCTCTCCCCTGTACGGAGTAGAAGAGAGGCAATTGCGAGCTTGTGAGAGAGTCTTTGGCATTCTATCCGAGATCCTCAGATGTCTCCAAAACGGTCCCCCTTCCGAAGAACCGAACGCGTTAATGCAGGTTCTTGGAACGGGGAAGAACCGGGAAGTGCGAAGAAATGGTTCGATGAATGCAGCTGACAGGCTAACTCATCGTGATTATCAACTCTCATCAAACAGTCGTATCATGGCGGCCCATATCGGCCGGGCACCCAGTCTCTCGGTGGGCGTCGAACACATGTCGCGAGCTCCGGAGACTTGGGGCAGGATATGAATTGCACCGGCCGGGACCCCTCCCCATCCCACTTTGTCCGGTGGATCATCTTCAATCAATGATGTTCGGACCCTCACGATGTTTTCAATATCCCAAGCTTTTTTCTATCGCTTTCGGAGGAAATGCTCCCCGAACCCCTGGCCAATTACTTTCAGCATTGAGTTTGATAGACAACGATTATGATCCGCGCTATCCGGTGATAATGTGAACTCCGCGTACGGATACTGTTGTACGGATACTGAACTACAACATTCCGTCCGCTTCCGTTGCCGTGTCGAAACGAGGCAGTGACGGATCAGCTATGCAAACGAACGAGAAACACCGTCCCATAACGTGTTGACAAGCTCACGCCAAGATCCTGACAGGCTGGCAACGACGAAGTCTTCTCTGCAATCTTGTCGCTGACCGGAAGCTACCTGTACCCCGCATCGTTGCAACATCACCACCATCAAGCTCTCTTACTCGACCGAGAGATGAGGCGGCGTAAGCTCCGAGACTACGGCCTCCAACCAATTGACAATGAATACCGAAGTTGCCTATGCGAATTCGCCGAAGACGCACCGGGCTACATTCGCGGTACCTGAAAGGTTCTTTCGTTACAGATACTACACAACACTACATGTAGACTACACTTCACTAAGTACGGATGATATCCAGAGCTTACGCGCACGTCAATCGAACCTCTGGGCGTTGACAGGACGATGGACCGACTTTAGAGTTTCCCGCCGTGCCTTTCGCTCACTTCGCCAACGCGACAAAGTGTTCCTTCGCTTCCGCCGGATAGGGTGTGATGATGGATACCTGGGATCCCCTCCGCGGCACTCCCTAGCAAGCTTCTCGCAAGCTCTTAGGCCACAGCACTTCAGCCCATGAGGCGTTTCGCAGTTTCACGACGGGGATCATCGACGTCCAACGCATGCCGGCAGAGCAGATCTCCCAGATACACGAGACGAATTCATTGGCTATCCCGCCGTCCATCTCCCGGGCTACACAAATCTAGACCGATTCTCAGCCCCCCCCCCCCCCCCCCCCCCCCCCCCCCCCCCCCCCCCCCCCCCCCCCCCCCCCCCCCCCCCACCCCCCCCACCCACCCCCCCCCCCCCCCCCCCCCCCCCGCCCACCACAAACCCGCCCCACCTCCCCCCCCCCCCCCCCCCCCCCCCAGGCTATCACATCCCATGCGTCGTCCCATCACCACTTCAAAAGGCACCCATCCCGTCGGGCCAATCTCACATGTTTCCCTCCTCTCACGTAAGGTCGGGTAGGAGAAACCCAAAAGTTCCAGACCCGTCCGTCCTCTCCCGCAAAGTCAAACCCGCGCCCGTCTCACATCAGGATGAACAACTTCGCCTCCCTCGCGCCTCAGCGAGCGCACGCCAGTGTTAGAGGCCGCCCACGGCACCTCGTCTAGGCCCGTCAGCCACGCGGCCCCCGCAATGCGGTCGCCATGCCCGTCCGGCGGAAGGCTGACGGCGACTTTGTGGGCCAGCGCTTCCGGGACCCGCCGGAGGACGTTGCCGGTCACGGATAACCAGTATCGTTCGTAGTAGATGTCACTGTCCAGCCAGAGATTGACAGTCATCAGCTGTGGAGTGTCGAGGAGCCTCAGGATCGCGCTCCATGATTCTACCCACTGCTCGAACGTGCTCCCTTGGTCTGCCTGGCGCCTGAAAGAGAAGTTGATGCGCCGGAGTGGGTGACTGATGGGCGTCTTCCATCGGACACCGAAGAGGTTCCGTGCTAGGTTGATGTCGGTGATGGTGAATTCGGTAGACCTGTAGATTGATGAGGAACATTCGGCATATCTATATGCTTTTATGTAAGTGACTGTAATAATGTGTGGGAGTCTTGGAAGCCCTCTTCATACTCTTAAGTGGAAAGTCCAACTTACAACGTCTTACAGGTCAGCATCATGGGCAGATACGGCGAAGAAGCGCCGACCGAGACTCCGTGACCTATTCGGCGCCGCGCAATATCTCGCCATATCTCTCTTTCATCCCTTGCCTCTTGACATTTCCAGTGATCACACCACGCTGACATCTCTCGCTTGTACCAAAGCGATACTGACCCTCTGGCATCAGAATCAGAGCCCATCCAAGTGAATTCCCAGGCGTCATCTCCCTCAACGATGGTAGACTCGAGTCTTTCAAGTAAGCACCTGGAATGCCCAAAGCCGGCTTCAGTCAAGATGATGTGCAGACCAAAGCCAGACATACGCCATAGTTCTTGATATACGATCTCTCGGATCTCTTTTGGAAGCCTGCCCAGTAAACCCAGACTCGATCGGTCAACAAGGGATTGCCTGTGTAAGTTGTGATTGTGATGGTGAGATACGTCGCCCAATAGGTCTTCGACGGAAGCGCGATATATCTCGTCGGGCGCCACGAGGGTCTCTGAGGAATCGCTGCCGGTGAATACATGTAGCTTGGGAGCGGCCGCACTCGAAGACATTCTGGCTTTGATATCAGATCGAATGTAGGATATTCTCCTCTTGAGCTTTCTAGCCAGGGCGATTGGGCTTGCTATTGAGCGAGCGCCAGTATGGCCGGGCTGATGGACCTGTTCACTCATCTTGGGAGGGAGTGAATCGGAAACGGAAGGCTCAGTGAAGGGAGAAGGAAGAAGGAATCAGGTCGATGGTGGAAATTTGAAATGAGAAGACTCTAGAGATATGAGCCTGTTTGTTACAACCTTGGAAGGCTAGCAAACGGTCATGAACCAACATTCAGTCCCGCCAACCAGACATGCAGAGGAGCAAAAACAGTCTCTACCAATTTATTTATGAGAGTAAGCCAACCAATAGCTGCTTCGTCAATGCCGCATCCAGAAGCGGGAATAATGTTTGCTTAAAATGGGCTATGCAAATTTGATATGTCACAGCTATTAAGACAAGGCATTGTAATTATGATGAGTTTCAATTCAAAGACCGTATGTGGGTATTGTGGTCAGAGCTAATCGACAAAATTCCGTTGCAATCTAACGCCAGTAATCCAAGGACAGCATCAAAACGCTGCGTTCCCCCGTTCAAGTGCAAGTGGAGAGGCTGCCAACAAGGTGCAAGCTCTTCCGGCCTCGCAGAGTCGATATTTGTTGTTGATGGGGTATTTACTTCTGCTCAGGCTTGGTCTTGCCAGCACCACCGCCAAACAGGCCACCGACGAAGCCGCCAGCGCCCTTGACGCCCTCAGTGGTCTTGCCAGCAACGGTCTTGCTGCCCTCGGCCACACCGCTGCCCGCCTGGTTCAGCGCACCCGAGCCGGGGACAGCGGTGGGCACGTAGCCGCCCTCGTCATCCTTGCCTTGGCGCTCGGCGCGGTTGACACCCTCCTTGGAGACCATATCGCCAACGGGCTGGAGGAGACCGCCCTGGCCGACCTGGCCGGCAGCGAGGTTGTGCACGCCGTCTTGGAGAGTGTCGACTTGCTCGACGCCAGTGACCTTGCTCTTGTCGAGGGTATCTGAACACGAACACGTTAGCACGGATTCTTAACGGCTACTCACTAGCCCAGGTACTAGTGTGATGGGAGAGGTTCGTGAAGGCGTTGGTGGCTTACCCTTAGTCGCGTAGCTGGCCTTGTTGTCCTTGGTGAACCATCTCAGGTAGACGTCCTCGAGCCATGGAACCCACTTCTCGTACTGGGTGTTGTATGTTTGCTTTGCCCACTCTGCCATTATGAATGATTCTGATAAAGAGTACTAAGAGATGTGGTAATATTGGCTGTTTGTATGATGATGGAAAGTACAATCAAGTATGCAATAAGATCAACGAGATGAACACCATAAACGGATGGGAAACACGACGTGGACCATCAGCCTGATATACGTCCATCCAAAAGGCCCAGCCGAGCCCAAGCACCAGCACCACCAGCAGCTCTCTCGCACACACTTTCATCATCAGAGTCGTCACTCGCTCATCCCTTCTCCTACTTTACTACGCATGTGCGTACGTGTGGCTGAAGATGCCCATGGATACGTCATACGGGTCCGTGATGGAGGCGTCGAGGCGCGATGCCATAGGCTGCCGTGCTTCGAGGTGCTGTCAGGCAGCCGGGGAGGACCCCCGTCGAGGACCCCTGCGCAGCGGCATCATCAAGCGCAATGACCAAATCCTGGAAGTTGGCAGCCACATCAAGAGTGGTGTGAAAGATGCGCCACGCGGGGGGGAGTCCTCCTGGCTAGCTTTGACCACTCAGCGCAAGCGAGCTGCTCTCTTGTTGGCTTTGGGTTTCAGATTACGCCTTGGGGAACGAGTGGTGGGAAAATGCCTCTCTGGCCGAGCTAGAGTCATCTTCTCACACTCTTCGAGTTGGTTGGTTTCGTGATGGAGCACGTGGGGAGAGAGACCCAGTGGGAGAGAGATGGTGGGATGGGACGTGGTATCCAAGTGGGCGAAAAGAAAATAAAGATAATGGGAAAAGACTGGCCCAGATCGAGATTGCGGGTTGCGACGTCATCCCGCCGCTGTGTGGGGCCATCTCCGATGAGAGTGGAGACAGCGAACCGGGCTGCAACGGCCTGGTGGGGCCCGGCGTTCTCCGGGCCGTCATGGTCGTTCGAGATCACGATGCGGCACCGCTGGGAATGAAGTACGTGCCTATCACCTCATGCGAGAAATCATTACTTGAGCATTATGAAAAAATCGGGGTGGTTTCTCTACAGAAAACCCCCGGCTATGTATTTGACTATTGAAATAATCATGACTTTAAGCTCATAGTCAAGCCCCTACTTTGGTTTGATGCCCTGCATCGTCTGGATGGTGACTGATCTATGTGAAACTTCCAAGGAGACCTCATTATCCTTCCAATATTGAATTTGAGCTCGAAATTCCCAAGGCGTATTGTGCCTATATCTGGGTAGCATTGTTCGACACGCATGAGATCGCCGGGGTTGCATCCAGCTCACGGACTTCCATAAGTGCAGTTGCGTTTGATCTGTCTCGAGAGTGTGGTACGTAGAAATGTACCTGTTGAGGTGTAGCTGAGATTGGCGACGACTGATGCTGTTCGAGCTCCGGAGTAGGACTAGTAATTCCCAGCTCCGATACAGCATTGCCGTTGAGTTCTGGGAATTCTGGTCCGGCAGGCATACGCCGGGGTTCCGCAGCTACTACAACGCGATGATAGGAACTTGCCTGTCTCAAAACGGTTCGACCAGTACGGAACCATTTTGCGGGAGTGAACCACTCGCCAACAGTCACACTTCGACCCGGGACTCGAGTCGCAGATCGTCTCTGGAGCTTGGTGGGCCGGCGTCTCTCCTCGAGCACACCGTCGGATTGAGGCATCCGCCAATTTCTTATCCATGCCCACCTTTCTGTATGCCTTGCCGCTGGTAGTATTGCAGGGCGTTCCAGTTCGATTGCACTCCAGGTCTCTCGGTTCAAACGCAGAGGCAGTCTGGTATCTCGGGTGCTTTGTCGGCGAGAATCGCATGGCAGTGATAGCTCGGAAACGGTGCCAAGACCAGGCTCTGGCCTAGCTATTGACCTGTTCAACCCCATGGCACTGAATGAACGAGCGATTCGACCATACACAGGAGAACTCTCAGGTGTGGTATTGGGTGAAGATGCTGTTGTCGCAGGGCTTGTCGGGATTGTTTCCGTCGGCGAACTCCCATCGACTGTGTGGCCTTCGATGGTGCACGATCTCGAACGTGCGACTACTATTTTGCTCGTATCAACTTCGAGCCGACGGTGATTTGCCATGTTGAGTCGTAGATTCGAGGGCAGATGGTTGATGGTCCCCCAGCCATCCCATCGGACTTGTGACACCTCCTGTTCAGATGGTGAGCTCGTGGTGGCATCCTGCTCACTGGGCTGTCCTATCGGAGAGTCTGGTAGAACCACACAGGCTGGATCAAGGGTATACGGGCCCAGGGCCGCAGTGAGAAAGTCAGAGTGATTTTGAAGGAAATCCGCAACATTGGCCGGATGCCGGTACTTGAATCCCGGTGATAGCCTGCGTCGAAAGACTTCTGCGCTGAGGTAGTCGCTAGTCATGTCGTACGTCGTAGCCAACAACCCTAAACTATTATTCAAGTCTTGCATGATAACATCGGTCTTGCGTAGCTTGGATAATCGTGCGTGTCCCCTGAGTGCTTGCTTGCAGGTGTCAAGAGCTATGTCAAAGGAATACTCAGACAAGTACGCAAGTGCCAGAGCATGCAATAAGTTGCACACCACACTATCCCTGCTGGACTTGGAAGAGGCCAAGTCCATAACGACAGGTTCAGCCAACTTCCGGTTGCCCTGGAAGAAGTAACAAATGGCAAGCTGAACCTTGAGGCTGCGCATCGAGATGTAGCTACTCTGGCAGTACTCCTCCTTGTCTGCGGTAGCTTTCTCGCATCGTGCGAGAGCTTTCTCCAACAGGTCACCAGCTTTGGTGAAGTCTCGAGCCTTGATGCTCTCAATCGCAATCTGGCGAATGCAGAGGATGTATTCCCTACTGAACGCAGCTTCGTCATCATCATCATCTTCATCTTCTTCTTCTGGTTTGTCGTCTCCACTAGCAGCAACTTCCAGACTTTTTAGTTCATCCCCGTCATCTGGAGCTGGAGGATTGCTTTTGACTGGTGAAAAACAAGTTTCTGGAGGTGACGGGTTGTGGAACGAAGTATTTACTTGCGGAAGCAGCTGTGGAGTCATGGATCCGTTTCGAGTTCGACCGTCGACGATGAATCGCTCTATTCTTTCTCGCTGAAACGATGAAAGATGACCTGGCCCACTGAAACCGGCGGATGACGAGGGTTTCCAGGTTCTTTCGCTACGGTCTCCTCGGGATGTGCCGGCAGATGAGCTTGCAGTAGAGTAAAAGCCATCGGCCGCTTTCGCCAGAGCTTTCAGGTTTCTAGAAAGTCTTGCGTCGGATAGGCGACTGAAGCTGTGCGTAAACACTTCGGATGGCTTTGCCGATATTTCATGAGCTCGGTCGATAGACTGCCTCAATCTGAATAATTCGTCCATGATCAGAGTGTGGGACATTTTGCTTTTGAGAGAAAGCGATCTATGAATTGACGGATTAGCTGACCGGCTTCAGCACAAGGCGGCTCTAACTAGGTTTGGGGGAAGGGAGGGGGGTATAAATCAACAGATTGACTGAAATACTGACACAGTGATGGTGTGAAATATCGTCTGCAGAGCCCCATTAGACTTGTGAATCTTCTCTTGGAATGCCACTAATTCATTGCCATGGACTGAGAGGTCGAACATGGCTTTGATCTTCCATCCAAGAGCTCGAGAGCCTGCCGCCTTCTTGATCTTCTCGATGAGCATCTTCAAGTCATTCAGGGTAGTCTGGCAGTCTGCAAGCGCGATATCGCTTTGTTGCAGCAGGTCTTCTTCAACCTTTGCAAGGTCGTAGGATCGGCAATCTTTCAAGGCTCCTTCCACTGCTTCCAGCAGATTTGTCAGGTTCTTGAGCTCCTCACAGAGCCTAGTGACCCTGGCATCCACCGTCTTCAGACCATGAATGAAGCCATGCAAGGACTTTGTGAGCTGCGATGTTCGAAATACACCTCGTTAGCCTACATTTTGAAATTACACTTTAGACTTTCAAATTAACTCACGATACCCGATGCCTCGATCAGGGTGATGATCGAAGCTGTGATAGACAGCGGATCCATGTTCACGTTGGAGGAGAGACTGGCAGACGCAAGTTGGCTTGGTGACCCTGTCACTACGAGCAAAAGAATCAAGAATCCATTTCCAGGAAGGATTTACGCTGAGTATATCGATCAGAAACATCATAGACCTCTTTAATCGTGCGACTCTGGAAAAGTATGCCTTCGACTCTGCCTGAACGCCCTAAGAGGGAGAGTCGTCCCGGGAAATGCAGAGCCGAAAACCATCCAGCCCGCATTGAAATACCTCGCATGCAAGGTGAATGACTCAAATGTCAGTCGTGAAATATTCCATAATCCCAAGGCAGAAACGAAAGGATCTTTGGAAAGGCAATCGGATGCCTCGAACTACACAGCCAATGATTTCTGTTGCAGGCGCCACATAGGGCGACGTAAGGCTAGAAGTGGCGCATCGGACTCTCGCTGCATACTCACTTTGTGTACACGGCCAAGAGTCTTCGGTGTGACGCACGCCGCAAGCCGGCATTCTGACCTGCTGAAGTTACGAGAGCAGCCCTCATATTGCAACCCAGAAGCATCTCTCGCCCCCTGGCTGCTGCTATCGTTGTGTCGCAACACGGCAGAACCGAAGGTTGCGGGCGCATCCTTAGTACTTATAAACCTGCAAGTCTACAAGCACTGCGCATAAGTTTCGTATTACTTATTACACTTGCCAGCCTCAGAACCTGGAAGGATTCTCTTCACGCCTGAGCTGCCTTGGGCGTCCGTCAGAATGGTGGTCACGCCGACCCGGCGAGGCCCACGATGCTTTCGGGCCCGAATAAGCCCGATCCCGTCCTCCTTTCTCTGCCTAGAGTCGCGGAGAAGATCCTTGGCAATGCATTTTCTTACCGAAGTTCGATGAAGATATTCTCTCAAAACGTTCTGTAATCTTTGCTCGCGGCAATATAGCACTTTAGTTACACTGGGACATTTAATGATGGCCCTGAAGACGGCGTTGCAGACTTTGAGAGATAGGTAGAGTTGTACAGTCCAAGCATCGAACCCGGTCACTTGAGTTGCTTAACGCATTAATACTCATGGCTTCATTA